ATCTGAGGCCAACGTTTTTGCAAATGGGTGTATGTATATATATATATATATATATATATATATAATATATATATATATATATATATATATATATATATATATATTATATATATATATATATATATATATATATATATATATATATATATATATATTATATATATATGTATATATGTATATTACTGGTAATATGTTTTAATGACAGGACGAACCTGAACATACTCGCCCGAAAAAACAAAGGAAAGCATGAAAATAAATATCGCACATCGAACAGATATTGCACGAGAAAACACAGCAATGGTGTGCTTACATGGAGTGCCTGCGACCGCAATCTCTACGAATGGTTTGCAACAAGAACAACCCTAAATGCTGTGAATTCTTTTGCCCTGAACTAGGTCGATCGTTCGCTATTTGATACGGCTATGATGATGTGGAGGGCGAATGGCGCGATTCATCCGCTGTGTGATACCCACTAAAGACCGACCAGGATGAGAGTTGTGAAGGATTTAAGTAAAGGCAACTTGGGGAGACCGTTTTTCTCGGGAACAGTCGGTTTTTACCGAAAGTATGCGCGGCCTCCACGCGAGATGATGTTATCGGCACAAGTGTGTTATTGCAACATAGCTTACACGTGGAATGACTTACGTGAGAGGGCTGTGCCAGTGAGCTCCAAATATATCTGGAGTAAGAACTTTGGGTACAAAAAGTGAAGCCAAAGATGGCGGAGATGGAAGTGCTATTGTACGTCAGTTTCAGTCTCCTAACTCGCGCGGCCAAATATTTCTCATTGTTTTTGACCGGGAGTGACGTTCCCGAAACCCTCAGATTTTCGTGTTTTTCATCATTTTGCGAGCACAAGAATGGAAAAAATTTATTCATTTTACTGAGAATGTGATTCTTTGCATTTACTCAATGTGGGTGCCGCATTTTCCGACTGTAAGTGTGAGTAAATATGCATTTTTCGCCATAAATTCAACTACGCACATACCTTTAATTTTGATTTATTTCCATATATTTTCACCTCATGTTTCAGTTTTTTGTTTCGTTTTTTGTTTCGAAACGCTTTAACTCTGGTTTTCCTTTATTTTTGGTTAGCTTTCCTATAATAGAGCTCTTTTTAAGGTTTCTTTTATACGTGCATTATGAGTCTTGTTTATAAATTTCATAATCATATATTAGTAGCCAATATTTCAAACCCGTACGTTTTTCAGCATAATTTTCTTTCCTATTACTTTTTACATGAATGAAAGCCTGATACAGATGAATTGAACTCAGAAAAGTTTTACTAGTATCTATCTTTTTTTGGGAAGCATATTCTGTAGTAAATGTTGTCAGTGATTTGCGAAAAGCCGAAAACATCAACAACCCGCCACTCCGTAGCTTTCTTAGTGAGAAATCGCTTATTTCTTGGTTAATTTAATTAAAATATAAAAGTATCTCAGTATCAAACATTAGTATTATACCTCTCATTGAAATTCCCCTCATTTTTACTCAAAAATAGGAAAAAATAAAGTTAAAAAATACGAATTTAGATAACTGCGCACATATAGGAAGACTGAAACTGACGTACTATAGCGCTTCAATATCCGCCATCTTTGGCTTCACTTTTTGGCCTCACGGAAGTCTCAAGTTCTTACTCCAGATATATATGGAGCTCACTGAGCTGTGCGCTCACGCTATACATAATTATAAATACAAACTTAGGATTTGCGAAGAAAATATTTTATTACTCAAATTACATATGTTACAACATTGAGAATATTTCTTTCAATACCATGAGGACTGTTCATTTTAAAAGTTGATTTTTTAAATATTCTTTGTATGCTTTGTGATGACTGTCTCGTGGCTTGTAAACTGTTCTCTTGTCGTTTTATTCGTGTACTTAAGAAAAGTACTCAGAAAGTGTACCAAAAATTATTCAAATTTCATAAAATATCTTATCATTCCAACAGCGAAAATAGACCTTATGCATAATGACGTCATAACACCTTAAGCGCGCGGTTAATTATGGTCTTTGTGGTCACAGAGCGGGAAAATAATTTCAAGATGGCTACTGTCGAAAGTGAGTGTTTTGAAGTTCTTAACTGTCTTTTAAAGGCTGTTCAAGCCAACGAGGATTCTAGTTCTTTTGAGAACTCTTGCACGGATCCTCTGCGGTTGGATAACTCTGAAAGTCAGTGCACTAGTCGGCTTTCTTCGTCGAATTTTACGAGGCCATGTGGAGGTACTGCATGTCCTCGAAAGCTGGTAGAGTCGGAAACAAGTGAAGATATCTTCAATTCTGACAACCGTGATTGGATAAAATGCTTAGAGAAACTTCCAGGATTTACTCATGAAAAGCTGGAGAATAAGCTTGTAAAAAATAGCCGTACAATGCCTGATAAAATGGCTCCAAAAGCTTATCGAAATATGAAGAAAGGCTATGGACTATGGAAAAAGGTTATGTAAAAAGTACTTTTGTCAAGCCAAATGTGCAAGCCTCGAAGCTGTTGTTGGTGGTGAAAGCGCGTGTTGGTGCTTCCATGAAGAGCGTCAGCTATCCTGTTTATGTTCATTTAATCCAAGTTAACGGTGAAGTGGAATATGCTAAGTGTTCTTGTAAGGCTGGCCAAGGAGGTTGCTGCAAACACGTAGCTGCTCTATTGTACACTATTTTGGACTTTGTCAATCTGAATTTGAAACACGTTCCTGTGGAATTGACATGCACACAACTTCCTCAAAAATGGAGTGTGCCCTCTGGAAGCTCAAAGACCCTGGACAAAGGTGTTAAATTTGAAGAAATGCTATTTGAAAAAGTTGATGTGAACAAACCTGCCAAAAGGTATATTGTAAAAGGGAGTAGGGAAGACTATTGTGCTACTCCACCATTTGCTCGGACTGTGACTGCAGAAGAAATTAAGTCTATGGCAAATGCATTTGAGAAAGCCAATTGCGCTTCACTATTTCGTGAAGCTATAGCCTCAAATAACTATAAGCCATGTGAACTTTTCGAGACATCTTGTAATCAGTTGCCAAAATAGAAAACTGGACAACAGCTCTGTTCCTATTCCAACGCAAATACCACCAAGTCAACTGGTTGATCAGATCTTTAAAAATGTGCCAAATGGTTACACCCCTCCATCAGATTATAGCCCAGAACAACTAGAACTAGTAAAAACAAAAGTTGGGTTGACTGTATCCACTGCTAAGGATATATGTTTGAGTACTATGAGGCAAAACAAAGATCCTCAATGGTACGCTGAACGATCTAAAAGGCTTACTGCTTCAATTTTTGGCAAAGTTATCAATATAGAAAGAAAAACCATCCAGCTTCACTGATTGAATCAATTTTATGTGTTGATCATGAGAAAAGAAAAGTGCCTGCATCTGTACAGTGGGGCCTGGATAATGAAAGTAATGCAATTGCTAAATATCAAGATGTAACATTAAAAGGCAGTGCTTTTGTCACATGTTGTGGGTTAGTCATCAGTCCCCAGTGGCCATGGCTGGGTTGTAGCCCTGATGGAATTGTCATAAAAGATGGTGTTCCAGTTGGATGCATTGAAGTTAAGTGTCCTTACTCAGTGAAAGAAATGAATGTTAATGAAGCTGCACAAAGTGTCAAAGGTTTTTATTTAAAAAAACCGAAAGTGGATTAGAACTTAAAGTGAACCATGCATATTATTATCAATGTAAGGTGTCTTGAACATTTTAAATTTACCCTGGATTGATTTTGTGGTATACACCAATGCTGATATGCATGTTCAGCGTATCTATAAGGACACTTCTTTGTGGGAGAACAAAATGCTGCCAGAACTAACATCATTTTACTTTTCATTTATTCTTCCTTCTTGTAAATGACATTAATAAAACACACATCAATTGTTTTTTACTGGCTTTTTTACTTATACCAAAATATGTCACTTGAAGTGGCTATATACCTGATAAAACTCATCTTCATTAGTATTCTTTATATACAGTCCACCTAATCAGCAACAAAGAATACTAATGAGACAGCATCTATTGTATTCATGTTTTTGGTCATTTAAAGCATTTGTAGTCCTGTTTTATCATATGTGAAATGCTCGTGCTGCGCACTTGCATTTTAAATATGATAAAACACTCCTGTGCATGCTTTAAATAGTACTTAATTAAGACAATATTGAAGGAGCAAGGTAAAGTATATGTATCAACTGTGATAATTCGAGAAGCTAATTTCCTAGATTAACTTCATTGACTAATGAAATCCTGTCCTCAAGCAACACGTTATTACTGTTGTTTAACCCATTGAGTGGCAACACTCTCTACTTGACAAGTCATCTGGCATTAGACATGTAGTAAAATAATAAACTAGGGCACATCGGAGTGCATTGCTGCTTAACGCATTAAGCCAGTAGCGAAGCCAGCCTGACAATTTGGTCATGCTATGCAAATAATTTCGTGTTCATAGACCATGAAAACAATCAATTTCTAAAGAAATGAATAATAAGTTAAAATTTGCATAGCATGACTAATTTGTTGGGCTGGCTGCACCACTGCATTAAGCACCAGGGCTTCCCATTGACAAGTAAAATCGCCTGGTGTTTGTCAAAAAAATAAGTAGGGAGCACTGGGGTGCATTGCCACTTTAATTAATAGGTTAAAGAGTTAATGAGCCACAAAATGGTTACAGTTTTGTAACACTCTAAAAACTTTCAAAGGCTTTTATTGGGAGTAAGGTGAAGGTTACCCCTCTACTCTAGTATATTTCTGTTAAAAATTCCAAATAATAGATGCAAATACCTTTAACTCATTAACTGGCAAAGTGCCCCAGTGCACCCTACTTATTTTTTTTTAACAAACGCCAGATGATTTTACTTGTCTGGGGAAACCCTGGCACTTAATGGGTTAAAGAATAGATTAACCATTAAGGGGTAGGACACACAAAGTTTAATAAAGTTTCACAGCCTACAATGGATTTAATGTGAAAATGTTTTGGACCTAGCCTTTATTATGGGTAAATTTTAAGCCTTTGATAGAATGAAATGCTATAGGGTTGCCTTTTAAAAGGTTAACTCCAGCCATGTCAATGTCAGGTAAAATCATCTTGTTAGGCCGAATAAATAATAAAGCAGGAGGATTGCAGAAAAACTATCATCTAGTCCAGCTTGTTATTTTCTACAAGTAGTGGTGGTAAAAAGTTAGAAAGGTAACAACAAATCACCCAAATTTTGTTTAAATTTGCTGCCATGGAAATTGGAAAGACTGTACTTAAAATTTTAAATTCTTTATTCTGGCAATTGCCCGCTCCACATGGATCCTAACAGAAGCTATTCTTCGAGTCTTGGTTTCCTCTTCAATTGACAAGTGCTCTTTCTCACGCATGAATGGTGGTATATTTAGTGACACTCCATCTGGTAAATTGTGCTCAATATCAAATCCTCTATCAGCCATAATTGAGTCTCCATTTTCTACCAAGTTCAGAATTCCACAATCAATAGTAATTTGTTGATCACTTGATCTTCCTGCATACAAATCCGATACAAAAGTGACAGCTCCTGATGGGCTTATGCCAACTAAACCCTTGGCAGTGTTGTGGCTTTTGTAAGTGGAGAATGTTGCACTTTGACTTCTAAAAGAATTTGGTTTTTCAATAAATATTTCTGTGCAATCAATAATAACTCGTGTCGAAGGATACATATCTCTAAATGAAGCTGGCATTGAATTATCAACTGCTTTTCTGGATGGCCAAATTGGAAAGCTACGTAACCTTGAATGCAAGAAGTCAACCCAAGTAATAAATATTCTGACATATGTGATTGAGACAACCCAGCTCTGGTCGCTATATCTTCTTCTAAAAGCCCCAATCGCAAGCGAGCCAACACAAGGAAAAATTCCTGTTCAGGTGAATTTGTTCTTTTAGGTCCACGTTTAATTACATCTTCAGAGCTTAACCTTTCCAAATCAGTCTTGGTACCATAATACACCAGATTATTCACTGCCGGTCCAAATGAATCAAACAATGTTTTGAAGGTTTTGTAGTCTTCCAGCCCCGTATAAAACCTAATGAGAATGTCATTGTCCTTAAAACATTCAATTGAAAAACGTATTCTTTTCCTCTCTTGTTCCAGTTGCTCCGTTAATCCTCTTATCTCATCTTTTTGACATTTATTTTCATTTTTAAGTCTTCCATTCTCCTCCTTAAGTTTCTCATTAGTTGCTAAAAGTTTTTCCGTTTGTTCTTGTAAACAAGCAATAGGATCAATATTCTCATTTACAGGTGTAGCCATTTTATCTGGTTCTTCTATTGAGCGTGATGAATTATTGTTATCATCAAGTTCTGAAAAAGTCTGCGTTAGCAGGTACAGATTTTGTACATGATACAAGAGTCCGATTTTTTGCCTTTACCGTTGAACGAGGTTTCGTTGGTGTAGGTCTGGTTGCTTTGGGAACAATCGTAGGAAGGTTGTTTAAATAGGTTTTACGTCCCCCAGGAAAATGCAACGAACAAATTCTATGACCAATTGTAGGAGAGAAATCCCTGCGTGAAATGAGATTAATCCACTTCTTTCGAAGTTCTTTCGACTCTTCACTTTTACCACTAGGAATGCTATAAAAGGAAAGCTCTGGATTCCTTTTGTGGTTGCTTTAACAACCAGGAACACAACACGTATAACCTCCAGCACCTCCACATGGCCTCGTAAAATTCGACGAAGAAAGCCGACTAGTGCACTGACTTTCAGAGTTATCCAACCGCAGAGGATCCGTGCAAGAGTTCTCAAAAGAACTAGAATCCTCGTTGGCTTGAACAGCCTTTAAAAGACAGTTAAGAACTTCAAAACACTCACTTTCGACAGTAGCCATCTTGAAATTATTTTCCCGCTCTGTGACCACAAAGACCATAATTAACCGCGCGCTTAAGGTGTTATGACGTCATTATGCATAAGGTCTATTGTATTCAGATTTTTGGTTGATCAACTTCACATAACAGGAAATTATTATAAAGCTCTTCCGACAAAACATCTCTCCATAATAATAACCTAAACCTATATATACGTCTTAATAATTCTTCAAAATATTTCAACTCATGCAAACAAATTTTACACGTATATTTCTTAATATTACTGAAACTCATTTTAAATTTTAAACGCCATGCACAGCAAACCAAACTCCAAAATGTAGGTTTTCATCAACAATATAATACCGAGTCTACATAGAGAAAACAAGAATGTGCCTAATATTTAAGCTTTTAGCTTAAAAAGAATTATAATCTATTACAACAAGTTTGGGAGACCCTTGACTGTCCCGGGGGAAGAGAAAAATATATTTTCAACGAATGACGCATAACTAAAAGCGTCAGAATGAAATTTATACACTGACCCAATTAAAAACATGCATGCGCTATCCTACGGCAACATGTTTAATGAGCATGCTGAGTGTACCTAAGGAATTTTAGTTGAACAGCTATACTCTCGTGTTTAATATTATCGAACAAAAACAGACATAATAACATATACATGTAACATGTCATGTCAATGACAAAAACTTAAATTATACAAATCTTAAAATGTGTCCAGTTTCATGTCCATTTATAAACGCGCTGACCATCAGGAAGGATCCGGTAAATTCTGAAACTTTCATACGTCTCAGACTCTCAGTAGTCGTATTTCAACGACCACGGAGGCTTCCACTGGTACCTCGTTGGCTAGATATTCGACATAGCCATCATATTAGGATAGAGGAAGAACATATTGCCAAACTCGTCTTGGACTGCAGACTGAGGGCAAAACGATTGTAGTTTCAATTCTAGTTCATGGGAAGTGTAGAGGTTGTGGACAGCTGTCTTGAAGAGACATCCAAAACGTGAAACAAAGTCTAGCATTGCCGTAAGTAGAAGTATGGATAAATACAGAGCGTGCGTTTCTTTCGAACCAGTCATCAGGTCGCTTCAGCACCTGTTTCTAAGCAATGTTTGTAATATTGATTGTTCTGATTTCTTGTGAGTATATACTAATAGTGGACTGATTGAGTTTCCGAAACGTTTTGTAAGGCCGATCCTGCACCAAATGTTAAGTCTATATTATGTTATTTCTATATGCGCAAGGTAGGAGATCTTTTACAACGTTTTTACTAAAGTTCACTAAAGTTCTCTTCTTTCTCATTCTTCTCTTCTCTTCGGATTATTCGTCCTTTCGGACCTCTTTGTTTTCTGTTCTCGTCTTGGCTGTCTGTTCTGTCAGGTTGAGCTTCTCCAACGTTTCATATACTTTTTACTCCACTAGTCCACTCCTTTTAGTCCACTCTCGTGTTTAGCCCACTCTCGTGTTTAGTCCACTCTCGTGCTTAGTCCACTCTTTTTAGTCCACTCTCGTGTTTAGTCCACTGAATGTTCTGTTGCTGTGCGCCTCCTTTTATAATAAAATTTGAGGGGATCTTGAAGACGCCCTGTGCAAGATGGTGTGATTCACACAATCCAATCAGCGTTGTAGGTTGTAAGTGTGGGTTGGCGTTAGAAGCTCGGTCCAGCTCTCATACTTTGTTTACTTAAGGCCGGTGACGCACTAGTCAAGTTGGTCTTTTACTTAATCGATCACTGTTAAAACTTGTTCACAACTTAAACTATTTATCATCAACTTAAAGCACAAGCATCAACTTATTACTCTGTGAACCGTATCTCAACTTATAAACTATTTTACAAATAATTTCATCGAATTAGGCTTTTAGTGACGTAAGGCTTCAAGTGCTTAACCGAGCAAAATATAACAAAGACATGATTGACATAAACTAGTATCCGCTAAGAACTTATGTTCTTGAGTCGTGACACTTGTACTTTGTACGACATACTATTGTTTCGGAGGAAAATCCCATGGGCTGTGACCTTATGACAGGAAAAGTAATTTTGTGATTCCGAAGGGTCATAATAATATTTACTTTACACTTCATTTTATATGACGTGTTCCCCAAGTAAGTTCCTCGTCGATATTGACCTTGTGTTTTTTAACAATGCTAAATTACATATATTCGCATTTCGTAACAATTGCACAAGAACGATGCACTTTACAAAACATGGCATATTCACAGGTTTTCATCGAATACCTGCATGGTAAAAATCCATATACTCTCAAATTTTTTGATGAATGTGGTTTAAAATTACCAAAGCACACTGCGCGAAGATACGGGCATGCCCCGATGAGAGAAAGAGCGGTAGAATTTCAGAGGTACGCCGAAACTGCAAATACAACGGTTAACCTTATGTGTTCACTAACTGGCGTAGATTACGCAAATACAGTTGACTGGAGTGCAGATACCTTAGATTTTCTCAAATTTTTTGAAGAAGCTTCCGACTCTATAAATGTTCGAACTGGACAGCCCGTGTTAGAACCTGGTTCTGTTATTGTTATGGACAATTGCGGAACCCATCACTACGATGGAGGCAGAATCTTAAGAGAATTTTTAAATGATATTGACATAGAACTGGTATATATGCCTGCTTACTCGCCCGATTTCAACCCTGCAGAATACGTGTTTGGAAAGATGCGTACGTTATTGAAGTATAGATTTGGAGACTGTACGAACATAACAATTCCTGAATGCATATATAACATGTACACTTCATTAGAGGCAATTACACCTGGAGACATGAAAGGATTTTTCGAATATACAGGTTACCTTGAAGTATAGAAAGTCTTACGTAAGCAAAGCCGAGCAGTGGCGAGGGACGAGGCGAGGAAGTAAAATAATGAATACAATTACTGTTTGATCCCCGAGCCGGTGTGAAGCACCGGGCGAGGGTACTAATTCCGCCCGGAGATTTTAATTACGCCCGGGAATGCAAATGCGAAATGAAAGTTGTCCGCCATTATGTCATGGATGTTGGGGGTTTTTGTAAGTTATGCGCATGCGTAAGTTTAAGACGAGTTACAACTGGTAACTAACAAACGTTTGGAAGCATGCGATTGGCTAAATTAAAATTTTGGTTCGCGTCAGCATAACTGATATTTTGAATTATAAAATTTTTAAAAAAAAATTTTTCATTTGGATGGTTTTGAAAATATACGGAAAAATTCAATCGTAAAATTGATCAAAACGTAAAGTAAATGGTGTTTTCGGATCGAAAAACTTTGATTCAAATAGATGTTGAAAAATCAACGATTTTGAAGCATTTTTGGAGTGTTTTTGAACAGGTAAATAGGTAGATTTTGTATTCTAAAGCATGCAAGTATTTTGTAAGTTTATAAATATGTGGATTTATCAACAAATGTATGACACCTCTTTGAATTTATTCGTTGATTTCGTTAAAATGATTTTGATTTGAAAAGTATTTATTTTTAATGGTGAATCTGTTTAAAAAGCAATTGAAATTTCGCTAAAACTGTATTATTTTTAAAGCAATTCGTAGCACAATTATGATTATAGTCGAATTTGATAGCTCGAGAGTAGACTTTATAATTGTACCAAGATATAGGATTTTACTTTGCGACTCCGATCATTCAGCAGAAACGAGTATTATAGAATTTCAATGATGGAAATATATGTTTATTTGGGACTTTGTATGCATGTATTTCTAGTAGCTTTGAATAGAAAAAAGTGATGATTGAACGCACTGTTATAACTTTGAACAGAAGAGACAACATAACCCGAAGCGCGTCTGTTTATGTTTATCATTATCTGTTTATCATTAGCTATAGGATTTGCTAAAAATAGAAATATGTAACATGTCGATTTCAGGAAAAAAAATGTTATAATCAACACAAAGCTGAACGCAAAAGTTCCCAAATTCATGTATGAATTTCATACGAACTTCAGTAAACTTAGATTTTAAATAAATTTTCGGAACTTAATATTTAATAAATTGTACAAACGATAAAGCTCATACCGTTGAAAAATCAAACTCAAAAAAATAAATATGAACTAGCCGCAAATATAATGGTGCATCCCTAAATATCAACGTCCGTCTAATAGGATCAGGGCGCAGACCAAACAATTAACATTTAGTAGCAATATATATAGCATTTGTATTAACGGTGCCATTGTTCTATTTACGCCGACTTTTTAAACATAACAAAGCCGCAGGCGCGTTTGCTTCGCATTGTATCTGGTCTTCGTCCTCACTGCAGTTGACTGATTCTACGCCATCGGAATCGATTTCGATTTCTTGTTGCTGTAGTTTTAGAGCTAAATGAAAATCTTCTTTCTCTTGTTCACCCGGCAAACAATGACTCGCTTGAAGCTTCTTTACATTGACGCTTCACTGGAAATCGTATGGCATATTCTTCCTGGGCTGTTTTTTGACTTGATACACGATGATCGGTGCCTTGCAGTGTTTTCCGAGTATTAGTACTTGTGGCTGTTGTCTTTGATTGTTCCTCTTTCACGACTGTACTTAACATGTTCATTATGTTAGTTCTAGTGGCAAAAGTCCCCTTTAATTGGACCTCTTGCGGAATTGCAAAGGATCATGGTAGTTTAGTAACACGGCAGAATTTTTGTGGGTAGCCGCTGCGCATGCGCGGCTAACCACTATGTCAGAGTCGAAAGTGTCCGCGTAGCATGGAGGGTAGGGTCTTCGGCACTCGTCGGTAATCACTCGGACAGATTGGCGCTGAAGGAAACACTCGAAACATTTCCGACGTTTAATCAGATTTTTATTCGAAGGGGCTGCTTTGAGTTTTGGCAAATTTCTGTATAAAAGTCAAGGTAAAATCAACGTTGCATTATTTGTGTCAATATTTGTCATTTCAATCGCTCATTTGTCCACTGCCGAGCAATTTTGATCACAACCGGATTATACGAGCGTACAAATCTTTAATTAATACTGCGTGGCTTGTTTGCAATTTTCATTGACAATATCTTATCACTGTGGT